CGACTCACGGCAGCCCAGCTCCAGGTCAAGCTGTTGTGCACCATCTTAGCTGTAGAGGGCACAGCGTCACTGGCCCTCATGTGGGATCTGAACCGGGGCCCAGCTGCTCAGAGCTGGCTTCCCAAGCCAACTCTTAACCAACGCACCACTCGGCTGGCCTGATTTAGCAATCTTACAATCACCCAGATTCAACCACACCAAAGCTCTGTTGTGGGTGGAAAGAAAGCTGTGGGCCTATCTGTGGCCCTACATGTGCCTATTTCCCTAACATAGACTACCTCCCACCTCCCTAAGCCAGCTCCTGAGCAGAACTGCTAACTTTCTCTCCAAAGGGGTTGTACCAACCAATCTAAATGGTCCCTAGCAAAGCACTGAACGTACCAAATATGATTGTATCCCCTTCACCAGAATCCAGCTCTACCATTTGCACCCAGATACACATATGTGCACACATTATTTTATTAGGAAATCTAAAGACATATACTGAAACTCAAGAGACATCGTTATGAACAGGTAACTTTCAGGTAATATTACTTGAATGTTTTTCCCAAAGACATCACACTCAAATTAATCTCTGGCCAATTAATCTCTCAGGGCTCAAAAAGCTTGGGCATTGTTAACATTCCTCTGTGATATGAACAAGAAATTTTAGGGCCACAAAATAATCATTTAAAAACTGTGTGAGGTTTTTAAAGAAAAATACTCCAGTGAGGACTGACCGATGAAAGTCATTAAATATGTAAAATCAGACAACCCAGCCTTTTAATGTGAGAACCCAGCTTTAAATAGCATTAGCTTCCTTTTAGCAGGAACAGAAAAATCTATCCCCCCCCCTTTTGAATAAAATTTATTCTAAACAGAGAAATGGCCTCAGTACAGAAAAAAGCAAGTCTGTCCTTCTTTTCTCTAGAAAGATAAATGTGAAAAAGAATTACCTGTGTAACAGTGTAAAGAAATGGCCTGACCTGAAACAGCCACTTACATTTTTATAAGCATATTCCTTTTCTAACTCAAAATATATCTAACTAAAAAAATCACACTTTTTATATCAATTGAAATTATATCAATTGTATGTCTTTATGAAATAATTTAAGTATCTGTTTTTTCACTTCAAACCTTCTCTTAAATGTTCCTGACTTACACATTTGGAGATGGTTCACCTCTAAAGAATGTAAGTATCTTGTTCCATTTATTTTTAAAATTAGAATCAAATCATTCATTTTCTATGTGGCTACACAACTTAATCTTTTTAAAAGACCTGAAAAATACAAAGCAGACAAGTGTGCTTCCAAATAAAAACCACTTTTGATGTTATAGACAATAATAAAAGTAATTCCTCACTGAGATGTAAGTGGTCCAATAATCTCAACCACTCTTAAGTAGAAGCAGTCCATGAGATAAATAGCTTAGTATCAAGGAAGTTTCTCCCATTACTTTCACACAGACGCTTCTAAAAATTCCAATTCATCCTACAGTCCCACTCAGTATACTTACTAGACAACTCTCCCCCCATCACCAATCCATTAGTTCCTCACCCCCCAAACTGACTATACTTAACTCTTTTTCTCATGTCATGGCATTGGTGACCATCCACACCCACTTCCTTTCTGAGGTCGGCAACGCCTCCCTCGCCTAGCTCTCTTATGACCAACCAGCCCGCGTGTCTGTTTCTGTTTCTTTCTTCTGTCCCCTCAATGTGGAAATTGTACATGGTGCTCTCCTTGGCTCTATTAAGTACTACTGTCTACACCAAATGAATCTTCATCTTTACTCTGGAGACTTCCAATCTCACCAGCAGCCTTATGTCTAATCTCTGTCCTAACCATTCAGTATTTAGTCCTGTGCTGACTTCTACTCCCACTACTGCTCTTAATGTGGTTTAACTTTTTTTTTTTTTAATGCCTGTTCTAACTGGCTAGATGAACAGCTCTTTATTGGGCAGGATAATATATCTATAGTACTCCCTACATATATTCCCTCCTTTCCCAGGAGAACAGTGCCTTTGCAAATGGCAAGCAATTAACAAATATTCATTGACAAGAACAGAAATGAGCTCAGGGCCATCTGTTCTTGGTGTTACTTCTCATTTCAAGATATAAATCTTTTTTTTTTCCCCCTAGCTGAGCCATCCTGCCACCTGTTGGCAGCTCAGCTAGGGCTGGGAATTGAACCAGGAACCCTCTTGCTCAGAGCTCACACTATTGAGTGAGCTCTTAACCCAAGATATAAATCTTAATCCTTAATAATAACCAACTGTTAAAAAGGAAGCAAATATATATTACTGAGCTAGCAAAAAATCAAAAGACAATGCTAAACACAAAGACACGTATATCACACTTGTGTGTATGGGGGGAAAGTCAGATTTCTGAAAGATTAAACTTGTCAGTAGTTACTTTTGGGAACAGAACTGGGAGGTTGTGATGGGAAAATGACTTATTTTAACTTCTATACATAAGATTATGTATTCCAAATTTTTTTTCTCACTAATTTGATGACGAGGCATTTGGCTACCTTAAAAGAGTCATAGTTACGCCGTTTAACCCACGCGCTCCATTGAATTTCTTCACTTTGACATTCAGAGCACTGGGCAGAAATCACATCGCGTCAACACCCGCCAAGGGCCTTCGCGATGCTTTGTTTTAATTACAGTCGGATTCCCCTGGTCCGCACCAGTTCTAAGTCGACTGCTAGGCGCCGGCCGAAAGGAGGCGCTGCGCGGAACCGCGGACTGGAGGCGGACCTGGTGGGGGGAACCGGCGTGCCGGACCCCCGCACTGCCCGACGCCCCCACCCCGCGCGCGGCCAGCATTTGCCGGGCTCCCCGGGTGCGGCCGCGATGCCCGCCGCAGCTGGGACGATCCACGGGAAGGGCCCGGCTCGCGTCTAGAGTCACCGCCGCCATCGGCGCCCGGGTGTCCGGGCTCCCGTGGGCCCACGGGCCCCCCACCCCTCCCAACCCGCGAAGGGGGGGGGGTTGTGAGCGGGGATGAGGGCCGCGGGGGCGGGCCCTGGCAAGGGTGCCCCCGGCGTGGAGGGGCGGGGGTGGCGGCGCCGCGTCCAGTGCGGCGCGCGCCCAGCCCAGATTCGCGCCCCAACCCCACCGACCCAGCCTTTAGATCCAATCCTTATCCCGAAGTTACAGATCCGACTTGCCGACTTCCCTTACCTACATTGTTCCAACATGCCAGAGGCTGTTCACCTTGGAGACCTGCTGCGGATATGGGTATGGCCCGGCGCGAGATTTACACCCTCTCTCCCGGATTTTAAAGGGCCAGCGAGAGCCTAATTTTTGTAATGCCTGTTTTGTTTCTGCAGTTTGGGATGAAGATGGGGAATTGAGCAGAGAAAGAGAGGGGCAACAATAAAGAGGTAGGCAAAGGAGTAGAAGAAACGCTAAAGGTAGCGGTCAGATTTAGAAAAAGGAACCTAAAGCCATGACATTTATGGGTAAGAGTAGAAGGTATTTCTAGAGGAGTGATCAATAGTGGCAAATGCTACAGAGATTAAGAATCAAAACTGAAATTAAACCTTTGATGTGGCAAATAGGCAGTCCGTGGTATCCTTATTTAGTTTTCTGTGGAGAGGTAAGATGATGAGCCAAATGTTGACAGTTGAAAAAAAAAAAAGGCAAAGCTCCTTTGTTTCCCAGTCCCCTCTTCTTCCTTAAAGTTAAACACTATTGCAAATTTTAAGAGTTTTATGTATTTCTTCAAGTCCCTGTGTTTTAAAAAAACTTTTATCTACCATATAGCTGTGAATATAGTGGGTTTTACTTTTTAATTTACATAAATGGTATTGTTCTTTTCATTTCTGTGTTCTTTTTATTTTTGCTAATTGCTTTTCCTACTCAGATTGTGGTTTTTGAGATTTAATCGTGTGATTATATATAACTCTAAGTCTATATTGCACATTTTAGCTGCTGGATTATATTTCACTGTATCACTTACAATTGATCAATTCTACTGATGGGCCTTTTTTAAATCACACACAATGCTGCAAGCATCTTCTTGTATGTATCTCACTATACACATGTGCTAGAGTTCTTGTAGCCTATACATCTAAGTCATACTTCAAACTGACTAGATATTACCAAATTGCTCTCCAGTGATGACAGGACAACTTCACTTATGTCATATTTCAAGTTCAGTGTTTCCCCAAATCCTCACCAACATTTGTGTTTCTCGGACATTTTGATTTTTGACAATCTGATGGATCTGATGTTATCTTCCTGTAGCTCTGTATTTCTGATTACAAATGCAGCTGAGTTACATGTGACAATCTGCTTTCTTTCCATTTCTATTTGTTATCTATTCATATCATTTTCTTTTGTGCTGATACTTTCCTTATTCATTTGCAGAAGCAGGTTGTAGATTCTAGATAGAAATCGTGAATATTGGCTATACAGCAATCTTTTCTCAGTTTGCCACTTGTTTTTGTTTATTTTGTTTTGTTATAATATTTAAGTTTTCAGTTCTGATATGTCCAAATTTATCAGGTTTTTTTTCCTTTTATGGATGTGTTATTTGTGCCTAACAAATCCACTGCTACCTTGTTAGTCTCCTTTATTTTGTTCTAATAGACTATGTTTTAAAACTTACTGGAGGTAGCTTATCTTCCTCCTTACCTCAGTCAACAAAATCCCTACAGATCACCATAATAGTGGGAGTGGAATGGATAAGTCCTTGTATCAGACTGGGTAGTTTTTACTTTTCTTCGTAATCTTATTGAAACATAGGAGATCAGAAAGGCTCAACATTTCAGGAGCCTTATTTTAAGGAGATGTGGGTGAGACGCGGAGGCTAATCCGTAAGTGATCTGGATATGAAACCCATCAAGGTTGTGGTACTCATGTGATAATTACTTATTCCAAATGTGGTCTCAAATAAGCAATGGGGGAGAATATGGCTGCTTTGGAGGAACTGAAGCCACATATATGGAGCCATATATACTTCTATTTGTGAGAAATTCTCTTAGATTTATGCACACCCATCTGCAACTAGGTAAGTAAGGCAGGAAGGTCTTTTATCTTATTGTGCTGGGTTACAATGCCTAGTAGTATTCTGGGTTAGGTTCCCCAGGAAACAGATTCTGAGACAGAGATTTGTACAAGGTTTACTGGGAAGTGCTTCCAAAAATAAGAGTGAGGGAAAACAGGATTAAGCAGAAGGAAAAGATGAGCTAACTGAAAGGGCAGCTGAAACAAAGGCCTCAGTCAATCCCACATTGGAATGGCCTTTCACAGAATCCCCAAATTGAAAACAGGGAGCCAGTGGTTCGAGCCTTTGTACAAACCCATCCCTTCCCCAAATCAACCAGTCACTGGATGTAGGTGTCCCCCAGAAAAGGGAACTAACTTGGGCAAGTCATTTCTTTAAGCTGAGGACAACTGCTAGAGTGCAACTCAGCTATGAGTTATCAGCCAGCAGCATTTGCAGCCGGCTGGGGTAAGACTGCTTCCCCCTGGGCAGGAGACCATAATCCACTACAACCCAACTCATCTTATCTTATCCTCTTCCCTCTGATGAGGCCAAATGCCATATTGTGAGCTGACGTATGTAGAGGCCCACGTGACAAAGAACCGAGGGAGGACATCAGCCAATAGCCAGTGAGGAACTGAATTCTGTCAACAACCACTTGAGTGAACTTGGAAGCAGATGCACCCACAGTTGGGCCATAAGATGACTACAGTGCCAGCCAACACCTTGACTGCAGTATAATGAGGGACCCAGAGCGTGAAGATTCAACAAGTCCTATGCGGATTCCTGACCTATGGAAACTATGAGATAATAAATGTTTTAAGCTACTAAATTTTAGGTAATTTGTAACACGGCAAAAAAACCTAATACAATCTCTCTAGCCTTGATGTACAACAAAAAGACAGAGTCCTCTTGTCTAGTGGTATCAACATGACCATGCTGCTGATCTGTGGAAAAGGAGAATTTGTTTCTTCCTTTTTCCTCTCTTCTTACCATCCCACACCTGAATTAGAAGATAGATAAGGTTATTATTAATAATCCTTATATAGGAAAAGGTATAAACACTAAGAAAAAGTGAAATAAAGAGACAAATACTACATAATTCCACTTCTATGTGGTATCTACAATAGTCAAACTCATAGAAACAGGAAGAAGAATGATGGTTGCCAGGGGCTGGGGAGAGGGGGAAATGGAAGAGTAGTATAGTAGCTCAATGGGTCTAGAGTTTCAGTCACGCAAAATGAAAAAGACCTAGACATCTGTTGTACCACAATGTGCATATAGTTAACTATACTGTAATATACACGTAAAACTTAAGTAAATTTGAGTTATGTGTTGTTACCACAATGCAATAAAAGTGAAATTAAGAAAGCCTGGGTCAAGTATATCAACAGTAGTAATCCCATTTTTAGAAAGCATTATAAATTATGGATTTTGATATAGATATTTTTAAAACCATTTTAAATTATATCTACTTTTCATTCAACCCAAATAGATTGTACATTTTTTCAAGTGCTTATTGTGGATTTTATTTCACATCTACATCCTATCACATGACTAAAGATACTGAGTATATTCAGAAAGTGCATGCTGACAACCCATGAAAAAAGCTAATCTTTAAGAAGAGTCTGAGTAATAGGCTAGCTGGCAAATATAGCATTAAGAAAAATTATGTAATGATAATGACATTTAAAGATTATGTGGACACCTCAATACTATAGCATAACATGCTCTGTGCATCAGGTAGATGAGTCAAGCATAGACCCACTCTTAGAAGACATTAGTTAAGTCATGGATTTTGATGTGACTTTTTGAAATCAAATTTTCAAATGATTTCACTTTTAGTGCAATCCAAACAGATGACTGGTACTTATTGAGGCTTTTATTTCCCAAGTGCATCAAATCACATGGAACAAAAGGAGTATGACAAGTTCATGAGACGAGTAAGACAAATTCATATACGACTGAAATTTAAGACTCTAAGTATTACAGTGCTTCAGAAGGGAAGAATTTGTTTGGAGATAAAAAGCAATTGCTTCTTAAACAAAGTAAAATTTGAGATGGAACCTCATCTCAACAAGTGGCCAAAACAAGTACAAGACGCATTCCAGACCCTTGGCATGGGAACTGGCACACCGATGGTACTCAAATATTTGCTGAATGAATGGTCAGATGTTTTTCAGAAAGAGGGCAACTAAATGAGCACAGGAGGAAACTACCAGCAACTTTTAAAGACCAGCTAATAGATAAGACTGGGTACTTAAATGCTAGTTTAAGAAGTCTGCATTGATATGTAAACTATAATTTAAAAAAATTTTTTTAAAGCCTGCATTAATTACTCATGAATCAATGTTTCCCAAAGAATGTTTGTTTCTGCTCATAGGTAGGCCAAAGGACCTTCCTGAGGAGATTCAAACTTATTAACATAATTCCTTTATTCAGTTCTTATCTGTGAAAAACACAAGGTCAAGGGCTATAATTTTTTACATAAAAGGCTGAGCTTAACAGTAACATAAGTTAAGAATAGTAACTAAAATTAATCATTCAAAACTGAGTGTATTAATTTCATTTAAAATTCTCTTCTATCAAGGACTTGAACTAACACACCTTTTACAGTAGTGCAAAGCCGTTATAATGCATGCTGAATGTCTTTGTAATACTTGTAACTTTAAAGAATGCTTCGTTATGAATGTGTGAACAGTGCTGACCCATGTTAGTCAAAATTTCCAGTTATTACTTCCATACTCTTTAATTGTAAGTTATTAATTTAGTTTCATGATAAACAGTATATTACATTGTTTTTCAATTAACCTATTCTATGCAATGAGGTATTTTGATTCAACATTATTTTTTGCCTCTATCTTCTTGATAAGAGAACTTTAAAGACATGTGAGTGTTATGATCAAGTATAAATTAACTCTAATCCCACTTGCAAAGGAGATAATATATAATCCCTTACAAAATTTGTGACACTTCATTAGTATTTATTTTATTTGCAATATATATCAAGGTCAATAATTAAATTCTTGGTTATTTCCTAAATTTATGAAGCACTGTTTATAAGGTAAAATCACACATAAAGCTTAGGCTTCAATATTTGTTATTTTGGTTCTCTTCAATTCTTTGTTATCGCCAAGCCCTTTTCTGACTGGAAAATGGCGTAAGGAAAACAAGCCTTGAGGGTGTCTGTTGTTCCTAAGATTACTGTCATAAAAAAAAAACCAATGCAACAAGCCGAGCTTTGTAAAGACTAACTTGGTAGTTGTATCCAGGACAAATATCCAGGATGAAGTGCAGGCAGGCATGAAAGATGTTCAATACTGGCAGACTAAGGCAAAGAACTTGACCTAAGGTGGTGGAAAGCAAGAGACAAAAGAAGGGAAAAGACATGGACCACTGACTAGATGCGAGGGAAGTATCAGATGTAATGATATTGAAATAAGGACAATTATTAGTAAAAATAAACAGGACTGATATAAAAAATATGGTGAAAAACAAATAATTTGAAGACTGCAAGGTTATTATTGTTAAATCTAGTGGTAACAGAAAGGTTAAATTTCAGCAAAGGTTACAAAAGATATGAATCTTTTCAGAAACTAGATATCAAATATGCAAACAGAGTGAGTGGTGCATAGGCTTAAGCTTTACTTCTGATTTGCACCTTCACATTTGATACATTTAACTATAAAAATAATAAAAATTAAGATAGTGATACTGGTTCAGGAGTAGACAGCCAACCAATGAAACATAGAAATGTCATAAACAGATCAACACATACATGGAAAAGTAATTTTATAACATAACCGACACTGCCTATCAGTGGTGAAAGGATGGACTTGTCAATAAATGATGTAGTTAACAATTGTACATTGGCAGCATGGTGGGAGGTAAAGTTGAAATTCCTACCTCACACCATGTAACAATCAATTTCAGGTGGATGCAACACACATATGAAGGCAAAACTACAAAACTTTCAGAAGACAGTATACTATATAGTAGCATTTTGATGGCAGGGAAGACACTAAGACACAAAAAGTAATACAGGAAAGAAAGGACTAATACATTAAACTGCATTAAAATTAAGAACCTCTGTTCATCCAAAGATACCATAAACAAAGTGGAATGACAAGGACACAAATCAATAACCTAACAGAAAAATAGTCCAAAGACCAGAACAGGCATTTCACAGAGGAAAAGTCAAGGTCAAACACATGAAACAATGTGCAATTGCATTGGTAATTAGGGCAACGAACATTATGTCATAATGATGCGTCATTTTATACCTTCCAGATTAAACATTTTGCAGAAATCTGATAATATCAAATGCTGGAAAGGATATGGAGCAAATGACATTCTTAATCTTGCCATCAGGAATATATTGGGTTGTTGGAAAAGTCATGACGTATTTTTTCTGTTTCTCGTTGCAAAAATGTGTCATGACTTTTCCGACAACCCAATAAATAGGCGCAACATTTTGGAAAACAATTTGGCATTATCTAGTCAAAGTGATGTGCATACACCCTTAACTCAGCAATTCCACCCCGAGGCACACACCCCTAGGGAAACTCTTACAGTACATGTGCAGCAAAAAACAAGAACAGCCACATTCTCTATAATAGTAAAAACAAAGCAAAACAAACAAGTTAAGAAAAACCCACCCCAAATTGGAAAATAACTGCAATGAGAATCAAGGGTAGAGAGGTAATTTATCTAATGAAATACTACAAAACAGTGAAAACAGATTACAGCTATACATACATAACACAGACCAATTTCAAGAGTATAATATTGAATAATAAAAGGCACCAAAAATGCATACATTATAATTCCACATATATACAGTTCGAAATCATGCAATACATTGTTACAAATACAAACTTGATAAAATGAAGAAAAGCAATGGTAAACAGAATTGGGAATATGAGGAAAGGAGGGAGTAGAAGAGGGGAATATCAGAGATGTAAAAGGTTAATGTAAAGCTCTTTTTCCTAAAATAGGTAGCAGGTATAGGGATATATCATGAATTGTGATCCTTTAGATGCTATCTGTCACAAATAGTTTTTTTTTTAAATATTTAATTAAAAAAGAAACCAAATAACTTAAATGTCACAGGTTTGGTTAATTCACCTACACCATGTCTTTTTCTAAAGAGAAGGTGCCTTCGATGTTTGACTCCTTGCTAGACTTAAGATAAATTTGTGGACAGGTGGTATACAATACAAGGGAAATTCTTGCTACTGGTCCTATCAATGAACAAGGAGATAAAAACCTTTTAAAACAAAAAAGATAGATGTTTACTGCTCTTGCCACTACATTATAAAATATAATCTTTCTTTTAAAAAAATTAGGAAATAAAATTTTAAGTCATCCTTTACCATACATAATACAGTATGAGAAGATATAAGAAATTTCAGCGTTCAGCAGTGGTCGACCAAAGGTAAAATGAAAGAAATTGTAGAAATAATTACTTTATTAGAAATTTTACCATCAGAGAAAAGAAATGGACTGCTATACTAACCAGTTTAACATAGAATAACTAATTGAAAACAACAGGGTCTATCTACTAAAGGAAAAAGCAAGTTAAGTTACACTGTTTCTGTTGAGAAACAGCAGATTACTGGCTACCACTAAAACATGAAGTCAATAAAACAAGCAATTCAAATACCTAAATCACAATTTCCAAAAATGTATATGACATTTATAAAAAGGCAAAACAGTAGCATGACTTTAAAAGTGAACTTACCCTGAAATAAGTGAAGTTACAGCTGTTAAACAAATGTCACTCAAAAGCAGTCTCTTGGCTTTTTCTTACACAGCGGGCAACTTTCCTTTTGAATTCTCCATTTCTGTCTTCCCTCCATTCTTTCTGTAAGTACAAAAGTGATATCAAGTGATTTTATGGAAAATCCTCTTATAATCTCAAATACTAGTTTTAATTTTGAATGTAATGCCTTGGCAATATGTAGATTTTTAAAATGTTAAAAGCTGGTAAGGGAGAAAAGTAGTCAAAAAAATTTTTTGCAAGGTACTTGGCTGGGACACAGAAATCCCCTAATGCAAATTACCTCTATAGGCAAAATTCTCTTAAAAAAGGGAAAAGACCATAAAGAACATAAACAGTTTTGTATTACACTGAAAAGAAAGCTACAACTTCCAAATAAGATATTCAGCCTATCTGAAGGATTACCAACTTTCCCTGTTGGAAGCAACCAGAAAATCAAGTAGACATAAAAGTGCTTCCTATACAAAGTACACAGATGGAATGCACCATATTGAGATGATATTGAGCACTATTTCCAGTGGGGGGAGGAGGACGCAGTATCACTATCATTGGCGAGTACATGAAAATTGAACATAAAGCAGCACCTGCACTTTCACCTGAGAACAGAACTGATTTTACCTAGCATGTAAATAGCAGGAAATTCTCACAAAAAGA